TCCCTGTGAGGACGTGTCGCGCTAATTTGACCTTGGCAAAATTGCCTTTGCCTATGGTTTTCAGTAACCGATAGTTGCCAATGTGTGGCTGGTCATCTGACGTGGTCGTGGCGACGGAGGTCCGACATCTGGACATGCTGGAGCGGCCTGAGGACTTGGACTCCTAAACAAAGATTACAAAAGATAGTATATAAGCCTAGGGTGGCTAAAAAACAAAAGTGATAGTGATGATGACATTATAACTGAGTCAAAGTAAATCAGAAGTTTAGGAGATATTTCATGCAGATTGAGTGGAGCGTAGAGCGAGTGCTTACAGAACAAGAACAACTGCTCACTACCAGACCATATCACAACCTCTGGTTGTAACATTCAGATGGTGTATATTTATTCCCCCAGTATTCAGGTTGGTACTAGTTAGGTGAAATAATACCTTATTATAAACAGAGAAGGTTCTTAAACATTCAGACATGTAAACAAGTTCCTGCAGGTTGACAAAAATGCACATACACCCAGGTTAAATTAGTGAACAACACAATCCCTGAATAAAACAGGTTTGCAGCACTTTTGCGAGGCGTCCGGGATTAAAACTCCAAACAAATAAACATTATGTCTGCCGTTCTCTTTCCTCCGTCTTCTTTTGTCTAAAAGGCCAACCGGCGTCAGACTTTGGACAATGTGCCACATCTGTCTGCACTCAGCCTATCATTTAACGTTGGTCGAACCAATCAGATTACAATGATGACCCGTGGGAACTGTTCATTTGCAGTTAGTGGTGAAGAACCTTGCTGTATCACTGGCACCTTGTCTGTTGTTGATAGGTGAACAGCTCTGATTCCGCAGTGTGATTTCTCCATGTTCGAAAGTCCGACCAGCTTCAATCGGTTCTAGTATCTGATCGACACACATTTGTGATGTCACATGGTGTGGATCGGATCAAATGAATATGAAGAGATCATGATCACACCGTTCTATCCTCTCCTCGAGTCACTGACATCAGAGTTCCTGTCAGCTGTACATGTGTGTTGTTATTCTTTCAGGGCTGTGTTTCAGACTCAACTGCCAAGAACATATCCTATCAAGTAACCCAGGTTACAAACATCAAAGTCAGTAACAGTCAGTATGTACTGTATCTCTAAGACAATATTCCAGTGCTCAAACTGTATGTTGAAGTCCAAGTGAGCTTTCCTTATAGAAAACAGACATAACAGGTCTATCAAAAAAAAAAGTATTATTTCATTATTCTCATTGGACACAGGATCATGACAACACACTATATCAGCAGATATAAAGTCAACCGTGGGCATTTGGAATTTCTTTCCCT